CTGATCCTGGCCATATCAGGGACGTCTCATTGCGGTTTTTAGTGGATAAGCCTTGAGCTAATCGTAAATTGGGTGCTACGGTTGGACAAAATGTACACTTAAGCGTCTTAATAAAGCCTACAGAAAATAAATCTTCCTTCCAGACGTGTTTTATCCTTCGCCTCTGGAAAAGGGGTAAAGTAGAGAAAGGTTCAAGAATCCGTTACACTTCAATCTGCCATATCTAAGGTGCTAACTTAATAGCTGCTGTATCATGTTTGGATGAGGGCTGTTTTTACGTTTGATTCGGCTCAATGATATCTGCTAAAGTCTCTCTCTCGTCCCTCTCTTTCTTGTCTCTGGCCAGTTGGAGATCCCGGCCTTTCTGACTTTAGACGGGGCCTTTCAATTGAATGCGAAGACTGGACTCAAAAAATGCGTAGGATCTGAAGAGCATGTCCTGTTAAGAGGCATGGAGACGGTGTTGGTGTGTCAAAACTTGGGGACTTCGATCAAACGGCCTGTCTTGCGTTTATGAGGCGAAGACGACCGGAGAATGACGAGGCGCCGGGAGACGCGGGAGAAGCAGGACTCGGATTGTGGTGGAAAGATGATGTGTGGGAATGTGGTTGAGGGTGTGATTGTGGTTGTGATTTTGATTGTGATTGTGATTGCGATTGTGGTTGTGGTTGTGTAAGCCTACTCGAAGACGTCTCGGCAGAGGCCGCTTAAAAATGGCCTCGAGCTGAACACCTTCGGCCTCCTCGTCGAGGGGCACGTCGAAGGCGACGAAACCCTTTTTCGTCATACTCTCCACCGGCGGCAAAATGCTGCGAGCCGTCGGCGTCGGCTGATTGAACTCGGAGCGGAGGCGGATAGAGAATACCTCTTCGGCGAGTCGCGTCAACGAGGATGAGGGTAGACGCATCCGATCATCCCGTTTTGCTTCGGTCGACTCGCCGAGTCGCCCAACCTCCGTGACGTCGCCCTCGGCGTTGCTGGGTCCGTGAAGACAAAAGTAGGCTCGTCCACCGACCGCCTCCGTCGCCGTCACTGTCGTCACCGTCGCCATCGCCGTCGTCGTCGTCGTAGACGTCGTCGTCGCCGTCGTTTTTGTCATCATCGTCATGCGGTTGGGCTTGCCTCGTGGCTCCGATTGGTCAGGCGAGCCGGCAAGTCCTGTTGGTACATG